GATGTAATATTCAGAACATCAAACACGGCGTTTAGAGTTGCTGATAGTTCTACTACCCCTTCTGTTTTATTATCTATTGATAAGACATTTGGAACAACAGTAAATACTGAAAGTTTTACAAATAATGCTCCATCGACTTTTAATGAAAATGTAACAGTTGTTAACACAAAAACATTATTTGTAAATGATATTCAAGATGCTTCAGGCGATGCTATTGATATTACCGCTGGGACAGTAACCATAAATGGAAGTTTAATAGACAACTCTGATGCAAGATTGAAATATGATGTAGATTTATTAAAAAGTAATTGTATTAGTATGATTAAGAAATTCAAACCTAAAAAATTCAAAAGAAAAGATAGAGACAATAAGGATGCAATCCATATAGGTTATATTGCTGATGATTTATTAAAAGCAGTTCCGAAAGAAATTAGTAATGTAGTTCATACCGAACGTGAATATTTAGGTATTGAATATACAAAAGTTCCAATATTATTACATAAAGCTTTACTGGAAGTGATAGATAAAGTTGAAAAAGTAGAAAAAGAAATTAAGGAATTGAAAAAAACAATCTAAATAATAATATATAATGGGTATTGGTCAAAGTAAAAACGATGAAAATAACAGTATGGAAGACATTAAGAATTTAAGAGTAGATGAAAAAACAAGAGCGGATACTTTAATAATTAAATCTATTCAAGAATGTGTGGCAAGGATTGAAAAATTAGAAAGTCAAAAATCGGACAAACTAATATATAAATTACCTGCGTTGAATTTATGCAACGCTTCATTAATTTAAATCAAAAACATTAAACAATAAATTTAATGTTATTGATTAGTTATTTTCAAATATTGTGAAAAGTTGTTCATAAAGATACGGTCAGGGTTCTTTTCTAAAAGGTTAATATATAAAAAAACTATGCGGTTCATCAGTGGCGGTTTCATATATTTTATAAATTAATTTCTTGCTTTCATGTAAATTATCGCTTCTAACAATTGCTGATAATTCATCTTGCAATATTTCAATTTCTTTGTAGTTTCTAACTTTATAATAAAACAAATGACTTATATTTACTCTAATAATTGGTGGCACGGTTGATGATTTTTGAAGACTGACAAGCGTTGATATTCCACTATGACGTCCCTACAGAATAAAGAATTTAACAATTTGTTATTTCTTGTTATTGCTGGATTATCAGATACATCATCCAAAATTACCAAAATATTAAATAATTTCTTCGTTCCTTGTTTTTTCTGGTATTCAATTATTTTATTTTGAGTTTCTATAACTCTTTCTAAATCTTCAACATTGAACTCATCCCACCAACACGGTTCTTTATCAGTATCTACTTTCAAACCTTCTTTAATGTATTTTTTAACAGGCAACCAAATACTATCCAAATTTACTGATGGGGACCAGATAAAAATTCTTTCATATGCTCCTCTATAAATATCAAGTATCATTGATACAAGTAGGGTGCTCTTTCCAGAGCCTGACGGGCCCACAATCATAGCTCTCATCGGCAATTTAGGGACGACCTCATGCTTACTTTGCTTAAAGTCGTATTTGATTTCGTCAATTGGTTTTACATCAGGCATAATAAAATAATATTAAAGATATTTAGAAAATTATTTATAATTAATATTAAATGGAACATCGTTATGTTATGAGTGGCGGTAAATAACATAATGGAACAGGTTTTCCATTGCTTCAATCAATAAGCATTGAAGATAATTAGTTTTGTGTCTCGCTCGCGTGTGCAATGAAAACCCCAAGTGCTGTGCCCCACCAATATTCTATTATGCATGAAAATAATAAGATCAAATAATTATTTTTAATGATTATTTCATCTTATTATTTATATGGATAGAAGTTATTCAGATTATATTGATATAATAGATGAAGTAGAGAATATAGAACAAGTAATAATAACTGACAACAGATGTAAGAAAGTATGCTTTTATACATTAGAATTGATAAAATTAGGAATACAATATACCAAAAATAAAAATGTAAATATTAATATAAATGCCAAGAAAGAAAAAGAGTAAAAGCAAAGAAAGACCAATGCCAGATATTGAAGCTCGGAAAAAAACAACGGAAAGTGTTAAATCACTGGGCGAAAGTAAAGCTGTAAAATGCGATAAATGTAATCATGTTATGAATTTTAAGAATGAATTGACGGTAGATAAAAAAGATGGTGTTAAGGTTAGTTGTGTCCCATGTATGTTTTCTTTTAAAAAAACAGACAAAGAATTTAATATTCAGAAAAAATCAGGAGGCGATATGGTTATTGAAACTAACGAACATTTGATTAATGTTAGTTTCAACAGGGACATAAGTTAGTATTTAAAGAGTAGATTTTACATTAAATCAATTTTATAAATAAATAAGTAAATAAATAAATATCTAATTATTTGTATAATCATAATGCCAACTATGAATAGAGAAGACCATAGAGTTATAACTTTTGACGATGAAGAAATTAAAGACCTATTTAATGGTGATGAAAACTTTGCTAAACAATTGAGCGAAGAATATTTTTATTGGTTTGATGCTAAATTCAATGATAAATATTTTATGAAAGGTATAACTAAACCGGATAAATTTGATAAAATATTGAACTTTTTTGAAATTACAGGTGACGAGGAAGGTTTAATAAAAATGAACGATAAAATTGGTGAAAGACTGTTAGAATATAATTTATTTACATATATAACATTAGATTATTCAGGTAAACTGTATAATAAAACGCATAAATAAATATTTAAATAAATAATTATATAAATAAATATATATAGAAATGTCTGAAGTTGAGAATGATGCTATTACTGAACTATCAAAGAAAATAATGACAGTTAGTAAAAATGTTAAACTGTTGTACGAGATGATAAAAACTATTGACCAGAAACTTGATGCAAAGGCAAACGAACCAAAAGATAACAATGAAGAGAAGGAAAAGATTGATAAAATCTTTGAAAAGAAAGGGATAGGCAGACCCAGCGGTGATTATGACACGAAGCGTAAAAAATATTGTGATATGTTAAATAAGGGACAAATCAAAAGTCCAAAAGAACAAACATTAGAATACTATAAGATTATTAAGGAAGATGATAAATATGTATATTTCTAAAACATTATCTAAATCATTCTAATAAACAATATGAATTTATTAGAATTATTTAGTGGAACTGGAAGTGTAGGAACCATAGCAAAGTCATTAGGTTTTAATGTCATCTCATTAGACTTGAAAAATGCTGATATTAATTGTGATATTTTGGAATGGGATTATAAACAATTTGACAGAAACCATTTTGATTTTATTTGGAGCAGTCCCCCGTGCACTGAATATAGTGTAGCAAAAACTAGGGGAATTAGGAATATTGAATATGCTAATAGTATAGTTTTAAAAACTATTGAGATTATCAAATATTTTAATCCTAAATATTTTGTAATCGAAAATCCTCAAACTGGATTATTAAAAAATCAGGAGTTTATGAATGAGTTTGATTTTAAAGATGTTGATTATTGCAAATATGGATTTAATTACAGAAAACGCACTAGACTTTGGAATAACATTACGAATTGGACACCTAGAGATTTATGTAATAGAGATTGTGGACAAATAAGGAATAATAAACATATTGAAACTGCGCAACGACTGCCATCAAAAACTAAAGCAGAATGGGGGGATAATTATGTAATACATAAGCAGGAAAATTTATACAAAATACCTGCTGAATTGATTTGTGAGATTTTGACGAGTTTGACAGATTAAGGAAACGAGTCTGGGGTTGGGATGGGGCATCCCCAAAAGCTGGGATGGGGCATCCCCAAACAATGAAATTTTGGGATGGGCATCCCCAAACAATGAAATTTTGGGATGGGCATCCCCAAACAATGAAATTTTGGGATGGGGCATCCCCAAAAGCTGGGATGGGGCATCCCCAAAAGCTGGGATGGGGCATCCCCAAAAGCTGGGATGGGGCATCCCCAAAAATGAAATTTTGGGATGGGCATCCCCAAACAATGGGATGGGGCATCCCCAAAAGCTGGGATGGGGCATCCCCAAAAGCTGGGATGGAAAAAATGACAAGTTGATATTTATTTAACCCATAAACCTTACAATAAAAAACATTGTAAGATTTATGTTTTGAAATTATGGGGATTTTATATTTTGGGATTTTGGGATTTTGGGTATGGTATGATACAGGTTTAAAGGTAAATTACCTTAGTAAATTATGGAGAAGCAGTATTGCAAAAGATGTAATGCAACTAAACCAGTTGAAGAATTCAACGGAATAAATAAATATTGTATAAGGTGCTTGGAAAAGGAAAGGGAAAAACACCAGAATAATAAGGAACAAAGACATCAGAAAAGCAAAAGATACCGTGAAGCACATAAGGAAGAAATAAATGCCAGAATGAAAGAATACAGCAAAGTCTATAATCAAATTGAAGTATTTTGTGACATTTGTCAGTGCAAAGTCAAAAAATGTAGATGGTCGGAACATAAAAAAACTCAGAAGCATAATAAGAATCAGAAGCAAAAGGAAACACCGACTATTATTGAAGAAGCACCTGTTGATATTGAAACAATATGAATTGAAATTACACCATACATTTTACAATTAAATTATTGTAAAATTTATGTTAAATGTTGATTTGGGAATTTTAGAAATTTGAAAATTATATTTTGAAAATTTGGAAAAATATTTACAAAATTTATGTATCAAATCTTGAGTTGAGGTTCTGTTATGAATTGATGAAAAAATATTATGTGGATTGGTCGGTTGAGGGGATTGTATCTAACTGGGGCAAGGTCTTTGGTAGGTGTACGACCCCCGCGGGTAGGACAAAAAAAAGTGGACGTGAAGAGGCAAAAAGGCCGGAACCAAAACTGCCTTTAAGCTGGATGCGAAAATGCCAAGCAAGAAGAATTCCCTCCTTCTGTTGCGCCAAGCGCAACTTTTTCTGGATCCCCAAAGCTGAATCAGTCCTCGAAAAACACGCACTCCAAGTGGTTGGGCTCGATCTGTGCGGCTGGAGACGGACTGAGTACCATGAACTCTCCACTCTCAGTGAAATACCGGTCGTATGGGCATGAAATGAAAGCTGCCTTCAAAAGTCGCATTTACTTTCACAGTCAATGTGTGGGCATGAAAGGCTTTCCCACCTTTGCGTCAAGAGAATTGGATTCCGGTGAAATCAAGCCTGCAGTTCTGTCAAGCCGCCCAATGCACTCAATCATCCCTGGAAAGAAACTGCTTGGAGGGATGGGTGAGTGTCCTTTTTGCAAGCAAGACCTACGGACAGGTGGAAGATTGAGTATGATTAATTTGCTGCTGGTTTGGCGGGGATTTACACATGACTCTGACTGCCATTATCGGTGGACTCATGGGTGGCGCTGGACAAGTGGTGGACTGGTGGATGATGTCGGCAAGGAACACAGCATCATGTGTCTGTTTTCGATGGCAGCCTTTTCCAGGTTGGATTAAACGGACATCAGGAGGAAAACACCACTCCATTTGACGCTGCCTAGCACTTGGCTCCAAGGGACGGAGCTCACAAATTCTGCTATTGGCTATTACAAAGGCCGCCAAAATAGGCAAAGGACGCAAACGAATCTGACACACCAACAAGCCAAAAGATGGTTTCCATCACAATCCTAAGCTGCTTGCCTTTGCTTCCGCAAACTGCTAAAGCTGACTTCGACTGACTAACATTGAAAGTGCCACAATCATGAGCCGTCCCCGGGCAAAACATCAATGAATGACATGGGTGTGGGTCTAAACTCCGCTATTGAACGAATTCTGGGACGTCGTTCTGTTCAAACTAGAGGTAATGAGCGGCACCACATTTGTTCAATGGGCTTTGAGCGGCTGCTGCCACAGCTGCAAGAGAAAAAAAGTGTATCTCAAAACTGTGCCAAGCTAGCGCCACGTAGAAGTACTAGTAGTATATAGTAGTACTAGTGGTAGTAGTAGTAGTAGTAGTAGTAGTAGTAGTAGGTAGTAGTAGTAGTAGTAGTAGTAGTAGTAGTAGTAGTAGTAGTAGTAGTAGTAGTAGCAGTAGTAGTAGTAGTAGTAGTAGTAGGTAGTAGTAGTAGTAGTAGTAGTAGTAGTAGTAGTAGTAGTAGTAGTAGTAGTAGTAGTAGTAGTAGTAGTAGTAGTAGTAGTAGTAGTAGTAGTAAGTAGTAGTAGTAGTAGTAGTAGTAGTAGTAGTAGTAGTAGTAGTAGTAGTAGTAGTAGTAGTAGTAGTAGTAGTAGTAGTAGTAGTAGTAGTAGTAGTAGTAGTAGTAGTAGTAGTAGTAGTAGTAGTAGTAGTAGTAGTAGTAGTAGTAGTAGTAGTAGTAGTAGTAGTAGTAGTAGTAGTAGTAGTAGTAGTAGTAGTAGTAGTAGTAGTAGTAGCAGTCGCAATAGCAGGAGCAACAGCAGTAGCAGTAGGCAGCAGAGGTGGTGTCCACAAAGCTAATTGGGAGGTGACCGGGTGTGGAACGGGCTTAAGGGTCTTAAGTCAACACCCATAGGTGTGCGCTGCCGCCTGGCTGCACGCCAAGCCTCTGAAATCCGGTGTGGATCGGTATCGTACTGCGGAAGTTCTCACATGGCCGATCACACGGCTTTAGAAACTCTGCTGACTACTTAAACCCACCTGCTAACATACGTGAGGATCTGGGGGTATTGAACTGGTGTTGAACCTCAAGACAAGAACCTGTTCAATACATCTTAAATTTGTATTGAACGAAAGGTGCACCGCTCATAGCCCAACACACCAGGGTGTTGACTCATGCAACCATCGGGTGTGACTCATACGTCCAGCTCTCCCAGCCTCACGGCCGTCGGTGTCCGAGAAGGACACTGAGGTGTATCGCCTTCCGGGTTCGTGCGACCGGGCGTCAAAGCGGGCGAAACAAAACCATCCCTGGAAAAATCCAACCAAAATCACAGCTTTAGCACCTAAAGGAGCTTTGATTTATGGCTGTGAATATTGGCTCCTGCGCAATATGCTTGTGGCCTGGTGTTGCTGGTGTCAGGATGCGTCGGGCGGCTGTAGAGCCCTGAACAAGACTTTCCAGCAAACGCATTGCCACTTGAAGCCAGTGCTTGTCATTTGTAACTTTCAACAAATCCCGAACATGCTTCCAATCAAAGCCAGCAAGGCCACAGCCAATGCAAGATCGTCTGGCAAAAATGGATGATTCTGTGCTCTCCTGACACAAGATTGCTTGCCACGCATGGATTGGATGCCAGTGGACAAAGAAGCAAACACACGCTTCAGTCAAGAGTCAAATCTAAGGCCCTTGAATCTAAGGGAAGTACATACCCCTTGTTCATACCGGTTCCTTGGCTTCCAGGGGTATAATATACCCCTTTGGGGGGGGGGGAGAGAAATATGAACATCAGCAGGCCTTTTGGGTGCAGTTGTCCCAGGGGTATATAGAAGGGGTATGTACAAGCACCCCTGGATTGAATCCTGCTTTGCCAAGTCTTTGGCAATGATGTCGTAGCCAACATGGTGCCGGTCCCTGCAACAGTGCCTGTGCCAAATATTGAGGTAGCGCGGTTGCTTGCGCTCGGCGGTCATGCGGTGTCCCCGCCTGGGCTTGCAATGGCGAACCATAATGCATTGCCCTCGCCACACAGCGTGCAATCGGGCACAATATTACACAATATTGACATCATCCGGAAGTGTCCGAATCTTGTAACTGCTCTCCACTACAATATTGAAATCTGGGCGAGCATCACAGGGGATTGCTCGCGATTGCTTGGTCATATATTGTGCGATGCTGTGCTGATGATTGTTTCCCTGCCGGTGTCCAAGAATACTTCGCAGTATAGTGCGCACACACACACACAAGTTGCAGCAAGCTTTTCGGCACCATGGCAGACAAACTATCCGAAGTCAATTTGACATTCTTGGATTGCTGCAGAAGGCAAGCAGCTGGGTCAAGTATCTGGATGAACCCAAAACCCCAGCAACAAGTTTGATAACCAAATGAAATGGAAGGCAATCGAGTATGCATCCATTGCTGATTTTGGGAAGTCAGGCCATGTCGCCTTTGTGGGGGCGAAGTAGCCAACCTGACACGGCTTCACTAAGTCTACCGGAAGGCGGGCGTGCTTGTGCAGTAGCTAGCCGATACACTTGTCAGACGCAAAAGCATTCACCCATAGTCAAATGCTAAAATGTCAACTATTAACCTTCACTTTGGTCAATCCTCTTCACAATGCCAGGGCCCCGAGCACGATGTCGCCAACGCAAAGGAAAGGCCTTGGTAGTTGCGCAGCCTGTCGCTGCAAGTCTGGTTTGAATGAGTCGCATGGAACTTAAGTTAAATAGGCTAATGCACGCACACACACACACACACATTGTCAACCAAATGCGCACCATGTGACCTAGCATGATGATGCTAGTTGAGTCATTGCAAGATAATCTGGTCCTGCGAGTGAGTGCCTCTAGCACACACCCACACATCAGTTGCTTCAACACTTTTTATTGGATTGATGTTTGCCGCCCAGCGTTCTTCCTGCAACAGGCATCCAACCGGTGCAGACCGAGGGGCACTCCTTGGAGGGCTCCGGGATGTTGCTTGGCAAGGACCTGCAACGAGAACTCAAACAGCGTTGTTCAATAATTGAAGGGAAACATGAACACCTATTTTTGTTTGTCACTTTGCCTGAAATGCTATTGAAAGGGCCATATAGCTGCGTGCCTTTAGCACACAAACCTCTCACAGTCTCGCAGAATAATTTCCCTGGCCTGACATATCGCTCATCACTTCGCACAAGGAGGACCATGCATGAGGCGCAACAGGGCAGCCTAAACCTAAGCTTTGTCTGTGTGCAGAACCCATGCTGCCTACACCAGTCTTCTAGGGAAGGCGATTGGAGGGCAACTGAACCTTCCTTCACAGGGCCAGTCACAACTCAGTCGAGATAATTCATGCCGCATCTCTGGTGTCACCACCCGGCTTGCCAAAGTCGATTATAGGAAGGACATGTGTCTGTCGTCAGATTAAAAACACTCATTATACACATGCATCAAAGCACAGGACAAAACAAGACCGCACCACAACACGCCACACACACACACATACATCCATGCACACGCGCACAAACACAGACCACCACACACACACACACAAAGGCACCGAAAGTACCTACATACGTAACAACACACACACAGACACACATGACATCATATATGCGCAAACGCACACAAACACGAACCAACACACGGCATGCAAGTAAATAAGCAACAAACAAACAACAACACAAGCAAACGAGCGAGCGAGCAAGAGCGCTCGCAAGCAAGCAAGCAAGCAAGCAAGCAAGCAAGCAAGCAAGCAAGCAAGCAAGCAAGCAAGCAAGCAAGCAAGCAAGCAAGCAAACACACGAAACACCATAAACACGCGAAACACCATAAAACGCCAATACAAACACACAACCCACACACACACAGACACGCACACATTAGGTACATTTAATGAACACAAACACACAAACTCACTGACCCGCGAACACGCAAACATACACAGACACAGCGCACACAGCGCTCACACACACACACAGTCTCGCACAGAACACATAGACAAACACACACACACACAACCCACATACGCACACCACAAATACACAAGCCCTATCGGCCATCAACGTGAGCTGCGCAACTCCTCAGCTTGCTTGACTTTATCCGTCCACAGTTGGAACAAATGAGTGTCTCTGGACAAACAAACACACACACACACGGCAGCCATGGTAACGTGTCTTTCAATCCCGGGGTCGGTCTTGGACAAACGTTCAATGTGTACGAAGAACATAATCACCAGTTCTAGGTTCAACGCATGAGATAACTTCCCCTTTTTACACGCTTGTACCTTCAGAACAGAGGCGACCTGACTCTGACCATCGATTGGGGTCCGGGCTTGCAAGGACCACTGAGGCAGCAATGAATTTGTCAACCACTCTGTACCTCACGGGCGCCAATCGCTGGCCACATCTCAAGGGCCCTGTTTGCTAAATATGTTCGCGTTATTTTTCCATTCATTGTTCACACTTGTCGAGCATGTAGGTACAAATGTTGGGCCAAACGCTGGAAGAGGTGGGTTGTGTCAGGCTTGCATGAGGATGAGTTGCCTCATCCTCCTAGTGTTGCATGCGCACCATGCTAAGGGTTTTGTCCAGCCTCTTTAAATGATGCTGGTATTCAGCGCATTTGGGCTGCCCCGATGTTGAGGCGAGTTTGGGATGATGGCATGCTGGCGAGTGCACTTCGAGCATACCCACAGCCAAACTCTGACCGCGGTCGGCCAACATTGAGCTGCTGCCTCAGCTTGCCGCCTGCGAACTGCTTGCCGATTCTTGGCTCATGTTCATGCTTTACATTGGCTCGCCTTCCGTTTGGATAAGACCCTGGAAAAAATATTTCCAGTAGTGATAGATTCCATTTAAAAACGACAGGGGAAAAACATATAGAAAATCTTAAGCAAATAAAAGCTACTCATCTGCATGATCTGCAGAACTTTTGCGCCCAATTCTGCGGGACGGATCAAAGCTTTCCTGTCGCACCCGCGGTTCAATTGCACCGCTCCTCAACATCCTTCCTTGTCTGCCAAATGAATCAAGCATAGCTGCCAGTCACGAAAGACAGACCTTCTTCTTTGGGCCTGCTTTCAAAACAAACATACTGGGATGCGAGGTGGGGCACATATTGCATGTCTCCCAGCAATCACACCCACCAGCGCTCATGCAACTGAAGGATTTTCTTGGCGCCTCCAAGCTGCAGGGGCACACGGCAAGGCGCCAACAGAGTCGTCCACTACCAGGAAGCTCACGGCATAGCAGTCAAACCTGCGCATTCGTTTCACTTGGGTCCAGTCAGTGGACACCAGAAATATGGGGAGTGTGAACTATGTCCACCAGCCACTTTGAGAGTGTTCCAATTATTTGAACGCATACCACGCCTATTACCTAAACCATTCGAATATGTCCAGCCTACCGAATGTAGAGTCCTTGTGGGCCTTTGTTGTTGCTGGGTAGGCCAATGTTTGTCATTCGAGTCGCATTCCCCAACTGTTGCAAGCGAACCTGTAGCAGATGTGGTGGCATCCTTGATCACTGGACCTTTAGGCAGGTCAGGTGATCCTTTGCTGGTGTTTCGGACTACAGCTTGGACATTTTGAGCCCCGCAAAGCAAAGCAACACTGCATTTTGAGGAATCTACGGATCTACGTCCTCTTTGACGAGACCCCCATGCGTTGAGATGCCTCAAGGCCTAACCACCGCGTCTTTTGAAGCGATCCAAGACAGGAAGAGCATGCCATTGCTGCCCGGTGCCCCCCCATACGCCAAGGATGACCAGTTCATCGGGCCACCGCCCTCCTAGCCACCCAAGTCTTCAGTGTTCAGTGACAGGACTGCCAGGTTTTGCATAAGCGCACTCCTGAACAAAATCCATAGTCTAAGATCAAAAAGCCGACTACATCACAGTAGCCCCACTCACCCGCGCCTGGCGTGCACGTGTGGCTGTATGTCTGGCTTGGTGTTCTCCCAAAAGATGCTCCACACCTCGCACAGTCCATGCCGTTGACCCGACTTCGGATGGTTTGGTCGTCACAACACAAAGTATTCTCATTTGTTGTCGGTAAGAGCCCCGTGTGATTTGAAGAAGTGCGCCACGTTCTCAACGAGTGCGATGATCGAAGGGCGGCATTCACACACTACAGCGCTCCTGAAAGCATAGGATCTGTGAGTCCAACAACACGATGGTGCGTATTCCGCTGCTAGAACAAAGCCTGTGCTAGTGGACACGGAGCAACAGGGCTGCAATCTAGTTGATGCCTCAGAGTTGTCAAAGACACTTCAAAGCATGCCGCACTCCAGACTAGGCAAGGTACGGACAATTGCAGCCAAAGCCGAATGTGTCAGGGGGTTGCCTTCGCAAAGGAGGTATCTAGCAGTCAAAGGAGGCAACTGGCAGTCAAAGCTTGCTGGTAGCACCAAGAGAAAATATGGTACCATTTGTACAAGCCTGTTTGACAGCACAGGAGGAGCATCAGAGAATCAACAGCATGCCGACAGAAAGTGCGCCCTATGCTTGGTGCAGCCAAAGATTGAAACAGATCGTTGATTTTGGTGGTTGGCTGGCCCCAACCCCTCACAGTGACGGTGTAGAACTACTCCATCATCCACAGCGGGCGCCGGAACCAAACTCATGAATTGGAACCCGGATTTACCTATAGAGTCTTGAGTGTTGTGGGCCAACATTAAGCATCACCCATCAGCGGGATAGTAAACAAACAACCAACCTATCTTGCGTCTGCTCTGAACATCTGAATCAAGAAGTTACATTTGCAGAAGCCGTTCATCACCCGCATCCTGCGGCGCCAGCTCGAGTTTGACGATACCGTCCAGTTTTCAAGTGGTCCCAACCTTGCGGGGAGCCAAGGGATCCAAGGCCGAGGCATTCACGGACTTTCTGGCCGGAACATGGCTGAGCTTCCTAGGCGAGTCAGGAATTCAGGTAGCCCTGGCTCCCATGGACGCTGGCAGGGGGGTTCGGATGACTACTGTCCTTTTGGGGCAGCCGCTGTCCACTTCCACTTCCATGATTGCTGGAAAAAGGGTAACCATCTCAACATGGAGGTCTGACATGTTTGGGGATCTTAGAGTGACCAACAGCGTAGATGGCGCCCTGCCATAGTGATATGAAAGGACTCTCCAGAAAACTCAATGGCGCCCTGAGTGCCAATAAGTCCCATGTCCATGGGCTGGGCAAGGAGCTCACAGCGTGCTGTTTTACCCTCAGAAGCGAGCGCAGAACCCTCTAAGCAGAACCCTCTAAAGCCAAGGCTGACAGACCCTTTGATTTTATCCGGCCCTCAAGTCAGGAAATGGGATCCAAGTCTGGAAATGGAGCGTTTCACACGGGGCCTCAGCTCTGCTGAGCATGATTTTACCTCACTCGCAGTGAAAAAGAGGTGCACAAACAAATCTTGCGATAGATGCAGCAAGTTCCGCGGAGGATGTGCATTTGATGTTTTGCTAGGTTTGCCGGGTCGACACTTGCGAGAAAGTAGATGGCACAACTTCTGTCACTTTGGCAATTAAAGTGTAAGACTAAATGAACAACAAATCATGCCACATGCGTTCACCCAACTGAAGTAGAATTCCTCGTTGATTCAAGCCACTGTTAATGGTGGACTGGTCGTTCTTGTGCAACCGGTCGGCACTCCTTTAAGTGGATGGAACAGCACGGCTTCCAGGGTTGTTGTTGATTTCCGAAATGTTGCACGAGAAGTAGCTGTAACGTCTACAGTGTCGCCCTAGACAGTCACAATTCACATTGCGGTTTCACGTATTAATGTCTCTATCTGTGGTTTTGCTCTGAATGTTGGCAAAACCGTGTAGCGCCCAAACGTGCTAAAACACTCCCAAGCAACTAAAAAACACGACTGATATTTCCGCAACAAAATAAACGCTGCTTGCTATCTGCCATGCATTGCGGCAACAAGGAACTCAACCGCACGTGGTCGTGGACATGCAAACCACGTCGGGGAAAACTGGTTGTCCTCCCTCCAAGGCAGCCCGGCCAGTATGGATACTGCCCTCTCACCATTGTGTTCTTGGTGGGTAAGTCCAACCTGGGCAAGCTGACGGCTACATGGACGTGACCCTCTGTTCGGAGAATCACGCAAACCTCTGTAATCCGTGTCCCCAAGAGAAGAAGCTAGGCTTGATGATTTGCGGCAAATGGGCGTGTGCGTGTGTGTGTGTGTGTCAAAACTAGAAGACACATCCACAAGACATCAACTGATTGAAATAGTCCTAGTTTAACACTATTCCAGTCCTCGCTTTTTGGGGCATGTCCTCTTTCACTTCAACAATGTTTCAGACGACTTGGCGAGGCAAGCTATCGACAATCTTTGTTCCCCACCCGACAGGAAGGGGATGTTAGATTTTATGTTGGAATCCGCGTTTGCGATGCTTCTACACCACGCCCCCACCCAGTATCCCGCCAGAGCAGCTCGCCAGTGGATCCCGCCAAGTATCCCGCCAGAGCAGCTCGCCAGTGGATCCCGCCGAGGTTCCAGCCAGAGCTGCTCGCCAGTGGGTCCCGCCCAGTAGTATCCCGCCAGAGCGGCTCGCCAGTGGATCCCGCCGAGTATCCCGCCATCCCAGAGTAGCTCGCCAGTCAGTGCTCCCGCCGAGTTTCCCGCCAAAATCCCGCCAAGTATCCCACCAGCCCGCCAGTGGACCCCGCCGAGTATCCCGCTGAGTGTCTCAGAGTAGCTCGCCAGTGGATCGCGCCGACTACCCCGTCAGAGTAGCTCTGCAGTGGATCCCGCCAAGTATCCCACTGAGTTTTGCAGAGTAGCTCGCAAGTGGATCCCGCCGAGTATCCCGCTGAGTATCCCTTGCCGGTGGATCCTGCCGAGTATCCGGCCAGTATCGAGCCGAAGCGGCTTGCCAGTATTCGCCAGTGGATCCCGCCAATGTCCCGCCAGAGCAGCTCGCCAGTCTGGGTTTGCCTAATGTCCAAACAGGGCCGTTGGGAATTTGGAGTCGAAGTCTCTAGGATGTGGAGGAATTTGTGGTAACGGTCGCAAAGCTCGTGAGTGTGGAGGGTGGGAATTGCTCGAAGCGAAGTATTTATGATGTTTTCCCTGGAAGTTTCCAGCGGAGCGCAATTGCGGAACCGAAGGCTTGGAGAGCCGGGGGGCCCAACAGCCAATAAACTGCAACACAAGCTCAGGCAAAAGCAGGTTCGCGGCAAAGCGCAACACCAACCACAACAACCTGCTCCTTGGCTGGTGTAGTAGAAACCATCGGTGCTCACCGAGACTCCCTCACAGCGTTGCTTGGCAAACATGTCGCCCTTCCAGAAGCTTGCGGCACGCAGAGCACGTGCCAATCGTTATACGGCGGCATCCTGCGCTAGCCACATGGGTGTAAAGCACGCTGGCGGAGAGCAGGCCAGCCGCAAGGGAAGGAGCGTCGCAGTCGTCAATCAGAGCCAGCCCTCAGCAGCAGCTGACCTTGCACTTCAGCCCAAGCCCAAAAGAAGCCGCTGCAACCACAGGCTTTAACATACGCTGGCCGCGGCATTTTGAGCACCGCAAGAGAAGCAGCCGGCGGCATCCTGCGTCGCAGCCCCAAGCAGCTGAGAAACGTGCCAACATCTTGCGGCAGCGGAAGCCCACTGTGTCTCGGGCAGCCAGGCGGTCTTATTCCCAGCAAATAAGCACGTCTTTCATTTGAAGCCGGTGGCGCTTTTTGTTAGGGGAAAGGCATCGCCGCCGGCGTTGGCACCGCTCCTCGGAGATACAACTCACTTTTCTAACCCGAGAACATTCCAAGCCGAGGCTGGGGATACTGCTTCGTCAGGGCACATTGCAAGGAGTGTCCCAAAGGTTCCGGATCTCACCAGAGCGATCGACACTGGAAACACTGCTTGCGCCGGCTCATCGCAAGGAGTGCCCCTAGGGTCCCTAAGGTCATCTCCGGACCAAAGCACCGCTCCTCGAATTCAGGACCCACTGGAATTATAGCTTCAAAAGCTTTTGGGTCATATAGTACACCCCTTTCACACCACGAGCTGTTGAAATTGCATTTTTAACTTCAAAAGCTTTTTGGGCCGAAACTCTTGGCAAATCCCGCACACCGGACGCCGGCACCCTCCGTCACCTCCCAAGCTCGGCCGCTTTCAGCCAGCTGCGTGCGGTATACTGCACTCTCGGAACGCTTCCGGCCGGTATGTCACCGATCCTCGCTCCTTCACGATTAGAAAACTAAAGGAGACCCCGACCCCAAAGGTAGTCTTGCCACACGTATGCTTGACAGCTCCATGTTGCGAATCTGCTGAGAGTTGTCGTCATGATTTTGAGTACCCGACTTTGACCATGATTGCGGCTACTGGCTCTCCTTGTCTAAGACCCGATCCGTTTATGGCGACAGGAGCCAAAGAAGTGAATATGTGAAAACACTGAGTATAGCATCAGCACTCAAACATTATTCCGGCTGCAGGCACTGCATGCATAGGCTCGTGGCCTCAGTCAGCCAGAAGAGCGCGCAATGACTTCAAAACAAGGACTCTGCTGGCTCCGAGTTATTTTCATAAGTGTGATGACGAGGATCATGATGATAATGGTGGTGGTGATGATGATGATGGCGATGGCGACTGGCGACTGCCGACTGGCGACTGACGATGACGACGACGACGACGACAACGACGACGACGCTGATGACGACGATGACGACGATGATGGTGACGATCAAAACGACAAGGACGAGCAGGAGGATGAGGATGAAGATGATCATGATGATGCTGATGATAATCATCCCGGCTGAAACTGGGGAACATGGGCGACGCCTAACCCTGCACGCCTCTTGGGTCCTGAATTTGGAGCCGAAGGTTTTCGACACATTGCTCCATGTGGATCTTGAAAACCCCTCGACTCAGCCTGCCCTGACACCGGAACGGCAAGAATCCCCATAACAACATGCATGGCAGGACATGGCAGGACTGTGTTAGTTGACAATGTCCGAAAGGGGCCATGGACTTCTTGAACAGTTGCCCTTGTTTCCGGGCTTTTGGAGGTCAAGCAGAAGTGAAGGGAAATCAGGAAGCCCTGGCCCAAACAGCCGACAATTCCTGAGCATAGAGGTGGTTGGCTTCTGCGCACCCGGCCATGTGCCGGTTCGTTGTTCCAGGCGGTCGTGCTGCAACCAAACCTCGCAATGGCATGTTTTGGTCAACCGAAGAAACCTCTGCAAAAGCCGGATTGAACAAACACATGAAGCCATGATGTGAATGCTCAAGAGCAGGAGCTGGTCGATGTGCTTTCCCGTGCAGAAAACTTCACGCACAAACTTCTTGACACAATTCGATCACTCCGCGGGGGGTCGTCTGCATGCAAGCGCGGGCAGCGGGCAAAAGAAGCGAGGTGAAAAGTCATGGACATCAAGAAGCAATCAGCCTAATGGCACTAGCTTTCCTTTTACGGTAACGTTGAGCAATCTAGAATGCCTTCCTCAGTGAGGCTTCGCCAACAGCTGATAGAATGCAGCACTGAGGCTTGCTATGGGCTCATCTGTTCGATGCATGGCTTGAGCCCATCATAAGCCCTTACCAAGAAACATGCCACCCTACGATGCTCAATTCACCACACGTTGGCCGCCGATGTGGATACTTCTGCAAACTCTATGCCTCCACCGCCTCCTAAGCTCGCCAATCACTCGTGGTAAAGTCGCACATGAAATCTCTTGGAACACTTTGACACACGAATTCAAGTTTGTTGCTGGTTCACGCAATCTCACGGCTCGAACTCGTCAGCGTCTTTGCATCTGGCCAATGTGCCATCGCCCAGAACCAGGCCGCCCCTTCCGTTCCGGCCCGCCTCCGCAGGCACAACCTAGTGACAAGCCCACACCGAACATCTCCCCTAGAGAAAAGGCTTGCGAATACTCACTGCGTAGCACGCGTTCTTCTTAGCCCCTGTGAAAAGCTTGGCCTTCCTGAGTTTGGCTTGCATTCGCAAAGCCTGAATGTTCAGTGTCTGGCCTAGCAAGCTTGCCTTTGTCTGCGTGATAGAGCTCGGGCCTAAGCGTACCTCCTTTCCCAGTCAGGGCTTGTTTAGGGCTACTTTGCCACTGGAGAATTGGAGCCTGGCTTTCGGGCAACGGTTTTGGATCGGCAACTGCGGTTCTTTGACATGAAGTCACACGGCGGTTCCTCAAAAACCATTCAAGCACACACCAAGACATCCGGCATCATCAAGCATGAGTTCAAGTATGTATCGAGGCTGCAACTGCACTCCTTGAAATTCGGGTATTGTTTGTCAGGTGTGTTCAAACAATCTGTTTTCAGGCTACGGAAGGTTGCTCCGTGGCCTCAAAATAGGTTGATGATCCTTCAGCCCTAGGGGGGGTCAGTGGGCTCCACACATCCCAGCAACCTATTGAGGCATGTAGGCGCTTGCTTGAGTTTACAAATGCCACTGCAACTTGTGTCTGGTCCTGTTTCTCCAGAATGTAACAAGCTCTTGCTTCACGCATCAGCAGCTTGCGCTGGGGCGTGATGCTCCTGAAGCCTTCAGCAAGCATCAATAGCCCAACCGGGACAAACAAAGGGGGCTATCGCGCTGTTGCACAGCTGTTGCGCTCCGCAGTTTTGGTCTTGTCCCTCGCACGGGCTAACTTCTTGCCCTTCTCTTGAACAAATATGCAAATACGCACACCGAAACACACACACACACACACACACACACACGGGACGAGCAGCACATTGGCGCTTTCCAACATGGGGTATTGCCCTCCGAAAGCATGGCCTAGTTCAAATGTCCAAAACACTGCCCAAGAATTCGGCGAGTGCACAACCCCATTTTGTCACTTTTGCATTGGACAACGGCCAATCTTCGCGCCCCCTCCCTCCCCATGGCCGCCCGGCGCCGTTGCGAATGACCCGCACAAGGGTCTCAGCGCGCAGGAGCTTCGCTGCAACTTACATCCCCAGCCTCGCCCAAGCCCAAGAACACGCCCGCCCCTGTGTTGCCAGGACAGTTGGAAAATTGCGGAAAGTTCAAGATTCCGGCTAAGGTCATCTTATATTATATCAAAGTACTTTGAATTTCATGTGGCTGGTGGTCTTGTATCACCAAATGCGTCCAAATGCTGCATTAATGCGGTTTCAGTTGGAAACAGCGCATGACTTTCTTGTGAAGAATAATGAGCTGAGCCAAAAAACACGTGTCAATCACAGGCCTCTTAAAGTCCTGGCAACAAAGCGCAAGCCAACGTTTGCCAACAACTCGTGTCAGGAAGGCGGAACCCACAAGCCATGTCATTTGTGCTCATCCGTTCGGTCCACTCTTTCTGGGGAGGCAACCAGCACAAAAATGAAGTGCAGTAGAGAAATCCAGTAGTCAACTTGTGTTTACCCTATTTGTCTCGCTCTCGTGCCAGCCCCCAGTGTGGCACACTGATCAAAAACGTGCCTACAAGGTCACCGGAAGTAGCGCTTCATGTCGGCACTGTCAATGATTCAATAATATTCAATGCCATAACGACCCTTCGGACTGTTTTGGAAAGTCTACGGCCCCGCCCCCAGCAATCACCGTTTTCAGCGCTCTCCCTCATGTCCATGAACTTCGGAGCTCAGACAACTTGCCGCGCAACGGAAGTCAAATGAACCAGAAGCACTGTACTTCATCTTCAGGCTGATTCGCCCAGGTAACAGCCCTTCGGCCATGCCACGCAGGGTCAGCAAACTTCGGCGTGCATCCTCGAGACTCTCCAAAATGGACAAAGTCCTGCACCACCTCACCGCGGAATGTGCTGTGATCGCCTGCGTCAGGGCGACAAAGTATATGGCACGGCTGCCATGGTTGCGCACTGTCTGGACATCCAAACCACATCCCAGACATCTGCGTGCGGAGTGCTTCTCACTGCCAAATCGTTGTTCCAGGCTACCTTGGGCCATGTCCTTGCGGGATTTGTGGATGGCTCACATTCGCCCGAAAGCCAACCGGAAACACATACAGCTGCAGGCAACTGCTCATTAAAAGATGAAGAGAACAAGCAATAACAAAAACACAAAGGAGAGAAAAGGGGATGCAAAGTATGGCACGCTCAAAAAACAGACTTCAAGCCTTGGTTTAACTGAAACAAAACAACTCTTGAGCTCAAAACAGATGCGACTGTGAAAACACTGTGTGCGTGTGCGTTGGGCAGGCTGTACCTTGCTTAAGATATATAGGGCTTGAGCTGCAGCCCCTTTGGAGCCACCGGCCTGCTTCGGATCAAGTCATCGGCCCGGAGTGCCACGAACCGGTTCGCCTCAGAGCTGAAACTCTGCCAGCAAACCGCGGTGATCTGAAACCACGCGCCCATCATCGCCGCGCGTATCAACGACCAGCGCCTTGACATTGCATTCCTGTCGAGCTTGGACCCTTCAGAACTTCACGTGGAGGGCTTGCAACCTGTCCCAGGCAAAGCTATAAACCTACGCCTATCATCATACAAGGCAATCTGCGATCGTCCCCTTGAACAGCGCTGGGCAACGCTCATCTTGTCCTGCAACACCAGACAAGACATATATAAAACAAAGGTATACCTGGAAACTCATGTGGGTCCTTCTTGTTCTGTTCATACGGCTTGGGCTACAATAAATGGCGATAGCGTCAATAACGGCGGCTTCTTGTCAACATTTTGGTCAACCAACAAAATACGGGCTGCATACTTCCAAATACGACCACCGGCCAGAACAAAATTACCATATGGGAAAAACGATCCAAATTCCGGTTCCGTCCAAAAACATGGCCATGCGGCTTTCTGCTGGTTGGCTGGGCGAAACAGCCGTTCCATCACACAAAGGAACTATCCGAGAAAGACGCACACACAAGACCCAAGCATGAACACATAAAGTCATCATGCAACGGGTTGAACCAGGCAAGTACAAATCCCATAGCACAAACCAAGTTATGAGCATAGCCAATTGAGCAGGTCCTTCAAGGCGGAGGTCACGAAGATGTGATCTGGCGAGCAGCGCAGCTCTTCTTTTTTGTCGCTTCTAAGCGTTGGCATCTGAAGCGAGGATGCATCTGGCAACTCCTCCAGGTTTTGGCCGTTGAGACCAACCCGATTCCAGCTGTATCCCTTCTAACAGATGGAAACAGACATGTTACTTGCTGATCTACTCCTGCATGTCGACCCTGCTCTGTCCCCTGAATTCACATAACCAGAAAATACTTTTGCATCGCTCCGGCATGAATGAAACATGCAGCGCATCCATGCATGGTGTGTTCCTTGTTTTGAGCAAAGGATTCGAGCAATGTCCTAAACGTGTCATGATGTACTATGTCTTATCATGCTGCTTACGCCACAGCTTACGCAAACGTTGCACAACGCACGTTTTAGCTTCCGCGACAAATGTGGAGGTGTTGCCTACGCCACTGGCTTACGATGCCTGACGCACGTAGTAGAGGTTATGCTTACGCGCAGGTCGATATGACTCAACGCTTGCTAAATACCCACACGGGGGTTGTCGACGTTGCGCTAGAGAGGCGACCCGCGCGCCTTTGGTTTGCAGGGGCAGTGGTTACCACACAAACATCAATGTGGGATGCGTACACGCATTTCTGGGAACAAGGTCAAGCTTTAAGAACGTGCCGGTACCCACGTGCTTTATTGGGATGAAACCAGATGATAGATATCCAATCTATCTGAATCGATATATACGAATTCAAACACAAACACGCATGTTGCACCTTGAGTCCCAACAATCGGCAGCCCGTGTTCGCTCCAAGTCCCAATGGCTTTTCGTGCCTGGGTCAGCCCCACTGCTGCCAGCGTCGACACCATGGAGTGGTACTCAGTTGCCTGGTCCAATGCCTCAGGGAAAACAAGCCAGTCAGAGCTGGGCACGCAAACCCAGTGTTCAACCTACTTCCAATTGCAACTATGGCAGGCAACCAGGAAAATGAAACATGCAAAACCCAGAGATTAGATTCCCGTGTTACCTGCCTACACCGGGCAAAGAGTCCCTGAGATCCAAACAGCCCAAACACAAGAAAGCCCTTCGTAGGGACGTGAGCAGGGTCGAGGGAAACGGCATGGGGCCCACTATGGCTGGAGTGCGCCAGGCCAACTGCAAGCTGGCAACGACCTAATATGATCTAGTGGTAGCAACCATAGAGGACTGATAGAATGGCTTGCCATGTGATCCTGTGAAACTGGGAGAGGCGCTCCTTTGCCGGCTTCAAGACATGCAAACCCAGGCAGCAGCAAAGCAGACAGTTGCTGGCTTGAACTTTGGGTCATGCCATGTTGAGGCATCTTTACAAGATGCACCTGAAAGTTAAATACCATCCAAACACAACTTTTTAACATACACCCCCAACAAGTTCTCAAACATCTCCTCAGCCAAAATGGTTTCAGGCTCGTTTCGGATGAATGAGCTTGGCCTTTGTGACGAATGCAGCTAGGTGGCTTGCCCGAATTCCTGCCCGCAAACCTGGGAGAGGCAGAGTTGATCCCAAATGTGGTACACAAGTCAGCGGCGGTTGCTGAAAGTCTATGTATGACTCTGGCTCCCTCTCTCTCCATGTCGCGAGTCAAGATGTTCATGTCAAGGTAACTCGAAGGAGCCGGGATGTCAACACCCATCAGACCCATAGTTCCGCGTGTACCTGCTTAGTTTCAAGCACACCAAGCAATAAGGTGTGATTCCTCAAAAACATACAAGCGCATCATGGCACTTTGGCATGCACATCAATGGTTGAGGTGGTGTGTCATGTCTATCAACCAGGATAATTAGGCTCCTTGAGTAACATAAGTTAGACCATAGCCATAGCCTATCCAAAGCTTCCAACGCCCAAACAATGGCCAATCATGGCCAAGCAGTTACCCAAGGCATGTCAAACAGCTGTGCCAAACTTGCAGATCCAGTCAGAATCCACTAAACTGAACCATATGCCAGGTTTTGTCGTTAATGACACTAGGAGGGAGGCAGCCCCCAACATAGCTGCGGCCGGCTTGTTCCAACGGCTCACCCTGCCCCATGCAGCTACTGCTGTGATGGAGATGGGCTGCCGGCGGCCTGTGTGCTTCTCGATCATTTGTCTCATGTGGCTTCGTTTTACAAAAGCTGATTGGAATCAAGCAACCTTTGACAATGCTCCCCTAGCCCGTGGATTTAGTCACTTCCACTGCCTAGTGGCCGTTCGGGCGCAATGGCGACAAAAACACAGCGGATCAATTCGTCAATCCTTAGAAGTTGCGCCACCATTTAGCTGCGGCCAGAGCGAACATTGGGGACAACAACTATACACCGTGGTTCAATCTAACACGACATTGGATACGCACATACTGCATCAGCCGGTTTCTTTACATTGTCCACACTTGCGGGCTACACTTCTTGCAACAAACCAGCTCAATGTCCACACCACAGAAACAACCTCTGACCCGTAGCCCCCGCCCCTTTCCTACCAGGCAGCATTGAAGTCACCCGACAGCATCCGCAGGTCCGTGGAGGCCGCAGCAATAGCGGCCACTTGCCGCCACTGGCTCTCCCTCACAGCGCGCCAGCGGGGCTGGTGGGCGTGCTCCAGGTGTGTTGTGAGAATCTGCAGCCGGCGCTCGCCCACCTGGACCTGGCCAATTTTCCCTTTGCTTGATGCTCAATAGGAGGCCTGCAAAGATTGAGCAAAGATTGAGAAATTACCCCTTCCCGCTTGCTTTGCACTGTGTCATCAATGTGAACTGCGGACAAAAACGACCACGATCAACCCGAGAATGGCCAGCAACAACCTAAACTGTTGTAAAAAGTCCGCTGCTCGCTGCGTGAAGAAACCGCAGGAGCACTTCATGTTGTCCCCGATCAAGTTCGTCAAGGGTTGGTGAAAAGGCCTTAACCTCGCACCAACAAAATGACGTGACAGGTTCATCCCTGCATGGTCTCCTGCAGGGAGTTTCTGAAGAATGTAGGATATCTACAGTAGCACAAAGCTATGATTGACAGTGATAACTGCAACCTGACACTGGGACCTTGCGCTTTACATACACAGGGCTCATTTTTCATGAAAACGGCTTTTTGTCACTTTAGTCTGCTTGCTGCAAAACATCATTTGACAGCCCATGCATTTATGTCATGGGTCACAAAAGGGTGCAACCCGTGCTTCTGCGATTCATGAAACAACGCTCTCTCATAAAAAAGGGCCATGAATCAAAGGACAAGCCTCTTCTCTCAGTACTCTTGCGCACGAAGTGATGCGAAGATGTTGGAGCAAGCGCGATCTGCAACCAAACAATGCAGAGCACAAGGGGTGCATCTGACATGAAATGAAGAAGACTCAAAAAGGTGTTGGATGAGCGCTGGAACACAGCACGCCACAACTCACCGCGTTTGCAAAATCTTGAGGCAAATTGGCTGGCATCCACTCTTTCAAAACCGATGGAAACCAATCAGGGAAGGCCCGAACAAGGCTAATCCGGAGGGACACGTCTAAAGAAGGACAGGAAAGGCCACAACATTTAGAACAACTTTGGTGGAGCCACTGCAAGTCTTGTGTGACTGCTTCAAGTCAGCCGCCTGCCTGCTCAAGGGCCACACTGGGGTTATGAGTTACTGGTTTGCTCCAAAACCGGCCTATTGTTGGGCCTCTTCACTTTGAACAACCACGGAGAAAGCAGCGATGAAACGAAGACACCACTCCTCAGCAACGTAATCTCAACAGTCAAGAAATAGAAAAACAATCAGGAATCTTTCTCATGATCCACAGCTTAATTCCACCCGGAGCGTGGGTTGCCGAGTTGCACAAGCAGGCAGTTGGTCGGGGTTCGTGAGTGGTACACCATCCAAATCTTCAGCTCCGGGCTTTAGGCAACGTCTCTGAAGACACGTGCCAGTGGACACTTGGCCAAACCGGCCTACGGTTTTCAGAAAGAACAACCAACCACCTGCCTGGTCCAAACTGAAGCGGAAGGGCAAACTGATTATCCAAATGCTGACTGGGAACACAGCAACAAATCGATTCAGCGATCAACTCGCCAAGACCCTCGCCTCCACCTGCAGCCAGCCTTTGGCAGAGACCGAGCGCCGCTGTTGGAATACTCCGTGGTTCTCCGCTGTCAACGGCAGCTTGGAATAGACCACCAGCCCACTGTTCTGTCCCACAAAAGGCGTGGTGGCCTCAGTTGCGGCCCTGGAGTGTAAACAGTTGGCACCTGATATCGGGAAAATAAAGGTAACCGAACCAGTTGGCTACCCTTGAGGCTTGGTAATGTGTTAAAAACCCAAAGCAACCTTGTCAAATGGGTGTGGGTCAATATTCTGGTGTGGAACGTTCCGCGGTGACGCGGACGTCTGGAACGAGTCAGTTACGCAAGGTTGGTTGTTCCGGACCTCTGGGAAGACATGTGGGGGAGTCCTCAAGCACACGTTCATTTAGTGTAAGATGGATAGATGGATGGATAAATGGTAGATGGATGGATGAAGCGACCAGGGGCGCGCGGCCTTACGATACGGCACCTCCTTGAAGGCTTCTTGGGCGGCACGGCGGGCCGCGTAAGAAGCGCAGCTACTTACATGGGGCATGTGTGTGCGCGTGGTGGCAAATTGCTCCGCTGCGTCTGGAACACGTCTGGAACGGGTCTGGAACGGGGTCTGGAACGGTTACGCGAGTGGAAGCAGCATGTAAACATGGTCGTTTCAACATTGTGACGACCGAGAGCGGTATCGAACCGTTACCGTATCATATCGCACAGATTGCGGCGGGGTTGGCCCTTAACATTGACAGGCCGTTCCAAAAACACATCTGTTAACAGGACCGCTACCCAATTCCATCCAAGTCCCAATGATTACAAGCCACGCAGCCCTAACCACCAAAAGCTCGACAAGCAAAACCCATCGTTAGCACCTCAAGCTTCTCTCGAACACCAGCTTTAACGCGTAGTACTTAGCAAACAAGGGGGTAGTCAATAACCTACCAAATCACCTGACCGTCTGAATCAATGCTCTAAACTAGACATAAATATATAAACAAGGTCTGGAACGGAAGGTCTGGATCATGTTTCTAGGCAAGGTCTGGAACGGAGGTCTGGAACGGAGGTCTGGATCGCATGTGGGTTCCGGACCCTGTTCCGGACCTTATAAATTGACTCGCAGCCAAATGGAGCTGTTGGTTGACGCCCTTCAAAACTCGGAACGGAACATTTCCGCGTCTACTGCGTGCCAATATCTGCGTGTTCTAAAAGGGAGGAATCGGATTCGGTGAATTTCCTCATATGCTTCAGCTTGTCTCAGGAGCCTGAAGTGTACCATGAAGACAAGGTCGTGATCGAATAGCCGCATCTGATTGTGACAGCTATGCCACTGAAGGGGCGACAAAGTGTATGTCACAGACTCCAGAGCGACCAATAAATTGAGCCTCGTTCAAGAAACAACCATCGAACAATATAATTCCGCGTTCAAGTAAGAGCACTTTCCAGAAGCTGGCAGATGACCCACTGAAGATCGCACATGAGGAGACTTGAGGTTCGTCTTGAAAGCCCTCAGAGAGAGCTAGCAAACAGCGGGCATGGTTGACGCTCTGGACACAAGCAGGCTCTTTCTCTCTGGGAATCGAACATCCCAAGCTGTGGCTTAGGCGCAGCCAACAAGAGCTTGTTCCAGGAGACTCATGCTGAAATGCTGCGGTCACTTCAGGCTTGCAGCCACACACCCCTTCCACCAGCATCGAACAAGGTACACTCGTGGCGTGCGCCGCTTGGAGGAATAGGGTGAGAACCCAATGCGCATGTTCCGCCTCTTGTAAGACATGCATATTATGTAGCGTGCAAATGCCGCAGGGCCAATAGTGCATTGCGTGTTTGCAGGTTCCCACATTCACAATTGGCAGCAACCATGATTTCACCTTTTGCCAAGTTCCTTCTGCTTGAATGTGGAAAGGTCCTTCGAGGTGTAGCTTGTTGTGCTGCAACATGTTGCACCCAATCCCCTTTGTCAGGCCAGAAACCGTCGAAGAGGTTTGGAAGTAGAAGCCCAGCTCGTGCATGAACAGCGCGACTTCCTCCGCCTCGCTCTTCTCACAGAGAAAGCCCAGACCAAAGGTAAACCTGCAAGGAGAAGCCACAATCACTACTCGGTTGCTTTCTGCTCCCCTGCTAAAAGTTTCACTTTTAGTGGTTTAATTCGGAAAACCCCTTAGTTGGCCAAACAAGTTGAAGTCCTAACATCCCTTGGCAAAATGCACAAGTTTCACTGACCCTACAGAATCATGTATCAATACATTCACATGGCTGTGGGTCAAAAATAGGTACCCAAAATGGAACCCCGGCAAATGGAAACATGAACTAAAATCTGCGGTCCAATTCCTGGTGATGTCATATCGACCCACACTCACTTGCTGATTCAACGGCTGAAGGCATACTGGCATGGCGTAAAAATGGCTGGGACAATTCAATTAATGATCCTAGACAGGCACGGCACTCACTATTGTCTGCGTGATCTCATCAAGGCAAGAAGGCCGCCAAAACCTGTCACTTTCAAAGACATTAGACAATTAAACAAACTGCAGTGTCTTGCCTTGAAGCTTGTGCTAGCGGATGTGCAAGAACTTTCGACACGTGTGTTGGCATGGCTATTCACAGGGATATTATTGTTGCACAAATAATATTATCTTGTCTCTTTCCTGCAATCAAAGTGCTGAAACATGCAGGACTTTCGTTCCCTCTCATGCCAGCTTGTGTCAATATTTTTTCATGGTATCGTGGGATCTAAACCGAAAAGAATGCAAGAGCGTTCTTCAACAAGTTGAGCCCGTACTGCCAGCATGAATTCAACACTGTTGGCAAATCAACCTGATAAAGGGTGCTGCAAGCTTCTCTTGCCACTCCTATTCAGCTCTCAACATGTTCGACAGCTCTAAACGAGTTCAACACATGCACTTCGCCAAAAAGACTCCCGCTGACAACTTCCTGCTGTGGCCGACTAAATCATAATGCTCGGCATGCTCGGCAACGGCGCACCCGACCGTGACTCAAATAAACGCATGGAGATGGTCTCTCGGTTGCTTTCTGCTCCCCTGCTAAAAGTTTAACTTTTAGTGGATCAATGGAAAACCAATTA